CTCTGTAAACTCACGCTAGACAACACCCGAAGCGCAGTCGTTCTGAACCAAACGAGCTGTCAGATAGGGTGATTCCTTATCGTGTGATTTCTTTAATTAATTGCTGAGGAAAATTATTAGAGCTGCAGAGCTGATTAGTGTACAGCTTCTACCGTAAGCCGATGATATTGATACAGCCATCGCGTCACAGCCCACGTCACTGTTGACAGTCATAACTTCGAGGTCGTAGATAATTTCGTCTATCTAGAGATCAGCTTCAACACCAATAATAATGCTAGTCTTGAATCCAGCGCAGAATCACTCTTGTCAGCAGTTGCTACTTTGGATTAAGTAGGTAGTTGAAAAGTCAAGTCCTATCTCGGCGAACGAAAACCAATCTCTACAAGTCCCTCATCGTTCCCATCCTGTTATATGGTGCGGTGTCATGAGCGATGACAACAGATGAGTCAGCTTTAGGAGTTTTCGAAAAAGAGATTTTGCGTAAGATTTTTGGTACTTTGTGAGTTGGGAACGGCGAATACCGTAGCCGATGGAACGATACGCTGTACAAGAGACACGGCAGATGGATAATAATACTAATAAGATTAAGACATCTACTCCGTTGGAAGGACCAGGTAAAGAAGGACCTGTCTCTAGTTGATATTTCCAATTGGCGTCAAACAAGATGTTAGCCTTGAAATGTAGCACAGAATCACTCTTCCCAACAGGTGCTTATTCTGATAAGTAATTGAAATGCTGTAATTTTGGTTCAAATGCCAAACTCTTCAAGTCCCTCATTATTCTCCTCCTGCTCTATATTGCAGCGTTATCTTCTGAAAATTTTCTTCGATAAAGGCGAAAGCACAGTAGCCGAAAATGTGATTAGTGCTTATGGTCCTGATACTGTAACAGTCAATCATGCACAATTTTGATCTCGTCGATTTCGTTCCGGTAATTTTGATCTAAGAGATGCTCGTCGGTGTGGGGGCCAATGGCAGTCATCGAGTATGGCAGACATGCGAACACTGTTTCGATTACGCAGAAGCTAAATGTTGCACAAAAAACCGCTTGGAGTGACTTGAAAAAGGAACTCGATGTATGAGTTAACGAGAAAAACTTATGGACCGAATTTCCATCCGCGTATCGCTGCCAGGTTATGAAAAGTGGATAACTTACAGCAATGACAAATAAAAACGTGGTCGTGGTCGAAGTGCAGTGAGCCGGCACAAACGGTCTTCAAGTTAGGATTAATGGGCAGGAAAGTTTTTCTTGGGTTTTTGATGTGATAGGCCCTTGGCAATCATCCACTATGAGCTCCTTCTCTACGACCAAACTCTTAATTGTTATATGTACTGTCAGCAATTGGACCGTCTGGAGAAAGTAATCACTAAAAAGCGTCCAGCTTTGGCCTACAGGAGGCGAATTATGTTTCATTAGTTAGTGGCACCCGAAAAGTTCTAAGAGCTCGGTTTGAGAGTTAATTGAAAACGATTCCAGCGCCCGAGGATAAAGCTATATTAGAAATCATAAAAAAAGTTGAACAACTTGTAATGGAACTTGACTGTTTCAAGCTTTTGGGAGAACAAATATGCTTTCATGAATCATAATTGACCCTTTGCAGCGATGTGAGGAAATATCTTGGAATCGATTCTCACTTTGAGCCTGAGTAAAAATAGAAATGTTTACAAAGGTATAAAACTAGACCCAGAAAGGTCTGGTTTAGACTTTTCCAATTTATTTTTTTACAAAAGCCGTATTTTTAAGATTTTTTTTCCAAAGCCCTCACACTGTAAGCTATTAATAAACTTTTTAATTACACCATGGCATATCCACTCGACATATGTACATATAAATAGAATTCAAAGAGTGGAACAACAGTGGAAATTTCACAGCACAACGAACAATCGCACAGCTTACTATTTGCTCTCGTAAAATAGTCATATTCCACATAATGAAACGATTGGAAAATCTATCAAAAATGCTAGAGGATGGCAAAGTATCATATGCACATCACTAACACGAGTTATGCAGGTATATATATTTGTTACTGTATGTGTTACCAATGGCACACAGCAGCCGCCATGAAATCTCAACTGGCGCGACAATGCGGCGCCTAGCGACCATTTTGTCTGTAACTTAAATACATGCGCCAATATCCTTTTGACTGCAGCGCGTCAGCCTGTGTGTGTGTGTGTGTGAAAGCCACATTTTTGCGCGTGTGTGCGCTGCGCGAGCATTTTCATGTTGTTTGCGCAATACTGAAAGGACAAAATGTCACGAAGCTGCGACATAATGGAGCCTTTGTATGATTCTGTTATACTACAATATATGCGTGTTTTGCACTTTTTTTTCAGCAAACACAGTTGCCTAGTCTAGAATTTTGCGATAGATACAAGAGGTATTCAACACATTTGCATATTATCGTGTAGGAGTGCCTAGATATGCATGTAGAATTGTTAAATTGTATATAAAAATAATAAATTAAGAATCTACACAAATCGCTGGGAGGGACTAAAATCTTTCACCGACGTGGAAAAGCATTAAAAATGAAAAAACAATAAATATGTGAGCAGTCCGACTAATGCAGTTAATACGCCTAAATGTTGGCAAAGCTTTTGTTACCAAAATATTAAAAATATAAAAATTAAATAAAATTAAACAAAGCCATAAAAAAAATTACAAAAACTATGATAAAAAAAGAAAAAATTAAAAAAGCAGTAAATAAAATTAGATTAATAATTTAAAAACAAAAAATTGAATGAATTAAAATAAAAAGTAAATTAAATTAAAATAAAAATATTAAATAAAATTAAAAAATAAAATAAAAATAAAATAAATAAAAGATGTGATAAATGAAAAAAAAAAAAAAATAAAGTAAGCTAAAATCTTTGAAAAGAAATTAAAATAAAACAAAACAAAAAAATAAATAAAATAATATATTAAATATAAGCAAAATAATATGAAATAACACTTGACGAAATAAAATTCAAATAAAAAAATTACAAAAAATAAAATAAGGCAAACTAAACAGGAATACAAAAAAAGAAATAAAATATTAAATATAATATAAAATGAAATAAATTGAATTAAAAATATAATAACAAATAAATACAGCATAATGCATAAAATAAAATATTAAATAAAGCAAAATAATATGAGATAAAACTAAACAAAATAAAATTCAAATAAAAAAATATAAAAATAAAAACTAAACAGAAATACAAAAAAAGAAAAAAATAAATAAAATAAAATAAAAAATAAATATAATATAAAATGAAATAAATTGAAATAAAAAGATAATAACAAATAACAACATAACATAATGCATAAAATAAAATGAAATAACAAAAAAAAAATAAAAATGAAACAAAATATAAAAATATAATAAAATAAAATCAAACAATATAAATTTAGAAAAATTAGCAAGAGTATCAATTTAGCTACCAAACATTCTGGTAATAATGCACATGTTCATGACACTGTATATTAAATAATTTCAAGCTTTTCAATATTAGATTCATTGATGACGCTAAAATATTAAGCCAAACGTTGGGCAAAAAGTGGAATAAATTAGTGTTATTTGCACTGACTAAACCAGATCAGCTAAGCCTAATTAATTAATAAAATATCTAAATTACTTGAACTGATCGCTTGACAAAAAACTAATAAAATTTATAAAATTTTATTATATTATTATATTAGCTTTTAGAATTAAATTAAACGAAAAAAATAAATTAAAACAAAAAATTATAAAAATAAAGTAAAATAAAATAAGTAACAAAATAATCCAAGCTGAATTAAAACAATTAAAAGAAATACCAAAAATAAAATGAACAGAAAGTAAACAAAATACTATAAGATCAAATGTTATATAAAAAAAATAAAATAAAACAAAAAAAAAATTATATAAAAAAGGATAAATAAAATAGATAAAATACAATAAATAAAATCAAAATAAAATCAAATAGAATAAAAATGAAATTAAGTAACATAAAACAGACTAGCATAAAATAAAAACAAAATAGCTTTAAATAAAATGTAAATAAAGTTAAAAAACATAAATTAAAAACGAAATAAAATAAACAAAAGAAATAAAATAAAATAAAATAAAATAAAAATAAAAATAAAAAGAAAATAACTGGCCTATTCTCACTGTTACCGGTAAAGTAAATTTTGTTACTTTTTTTAGCACCCGAAATTGAATTTGGTATTCTGGGGAACTGTTTACATTATTTTAAAAAACTTCGGCAGCACTGCATTTTTCGTCCTTGTCAAATTGCATTTGCCAGTTGGTAAAGTAAAAAAAAGAATATTCACATCGAAATGGAAGACTGTACACAACAAAATAAATAAACCTTTAAAATTGCACTAAATTTTGGAAAATATGCCTAAACGACAAAAAAAGTTGAATGAAAACCTTATCTTCCGAATCATACTCTGTCTTGCTAAGAAGGCGCATTTTTCCACATTTTTCTTCATTTTCAATGAATTTCAGGCCTAAAATATGCCTAGCCATTTTGGTTTTTTATTTTTTCACAAACTAACAACACAAAATCGAACAGCTGATTGCTTGCTACCCCTATTTCGCAGGTAACAAAATTTACAGGGTGACAGTGAACTCAGAATACGAAATAGTAACAAAATTTACTAAATGGTAAGTTTTAATGCCAAAGTTAATTTTGTTACGTCGACAGAATAGGCTTTTAAATATAAAACAAAATATATAAATAAAACACTAAAGTACAGTAATATTTTGTTCAAAATTTTAAACATTTCTGAATACATTTCCATTATGAGGTGAAGTGTAACTTCTCTAGTATGTAAATTAATTAAGTATAAATGTAGAAAATGTTTACCTTTTATTATTTAAATATAGCTGCAAAATGAATTACAGGGTGTATTTTCTAGCCACCGAATATATTCTTAAAATTTACTTATCTCTTATTTCAATTTCAAAGCTAAAAAATCTTTATAATAAAATAAAAATAATAATAACAATCGTTATTACTTTCAACACTCACCTTGTTTTATGTATAAATGTTGTAAATTTCGTAAAATGTAAATAAAAGTAGCGATATTGAGGTCGTTCGTTTGATTATCTTTGTTGTTAATTTTCGATGTGAGGAATCTGTAAGGAAAATAAAGGAAAAATTAAATTAAAAAATAATATACAAGTAAATCAAATATAAACTACATATGAAAGCACTTTTCATGCGTAGAAAAGTCTAAAATTGTTCACACAAGTCGCTGAAGAAATGCGTTTGCGTATCGATCCATTAGTTGCAAATTTCCCATTTCATACTTGAGCACACACACACGCACACACGCACGCAGTGAATACCATATTTTCACACCAAGAAGAGAAAACCTTAACCAAATAGCATCTAATCGGGTCAACAATGTCAGTCAAGTATTGGTTGTGCGGTTTATACTATCTGGCAACTAGGCAACTGTGGAGCGGTACAAGTTGTGAATTGTAATGGCAAAAAACTTCTCTTTCTTATATGGTGTCTTTGATCTGCATTGTCGATGACCGAGAAAAAAATAAAATGGTATAATAAAATAAAATAAATTAAAAATAAAATAATGGCTTGCATTGCGGCTACATTTCAAAGGCCAAATCGGTGGCATCAAGCATTTTATTCTTACTCATTTAGAGTTTTTTTTTTGGTGCAATATCAGTTCATATTGAAGCTACAAAATAATAATAAAGGCCACATTGCCAGACCAAAGAAATATGAAAATATGTTTTACCATTCAAAAAATTCTTCATATAATCGAAGTTACCTAATGGTAAGCCCAAAAATTAGCATCTCTCATTGCATCATGCCGTTATTATGCTGGTGGAAACTCTTGTCCCAAGAGCCTACAGCGTCGTAACAAAAATTTAAGTAGCTCAATGTAACTCGAGTTCTTAAACTTTTAATAACTAAATGGTAATTCCATGAGAGTGTTAATTCAATAAAATTCTCATGCGTTCAATATCAGAAGTTGTGTTATCTGAACATAAATACCAAGACTTCGAAAGAAAAAGAACGAAATCTCTTTGTCAGGGTGACTGCAGAAGAAAATTATTTACTATGCCCCGTCGACGCTCTATTCCCAAGTAATAGTCAGTGCTGTAAAATCAATTAGAGTAGCCAGTAGTTTAGACATCAGTCCAGGCATTCTCAACCACCATATTTTCCAAACATACACTCGACTCGAACGATTTGCGTGAAAACTCTCTCTAAGTGCTTCAGGAAGGGTGTTAATTATATCTGTTTACTGGTGGATTCTTTCCAGCATTGAAAACACAAAAGACAATGGATATCGTAACTGTAGACAGCGCTCTATCCTTGTTTGCCTTCAACTCTTTTTACTCTCTCTAAAACGACACATTTCCTTTTCTCTCTCTGTAAATTCAATGCAAAGTCATATGCCCCACAACAACTTTGTAACCATTTGAAGGCAAACGACTAAGTCAAACTTGTCCACCTCAACCTCGACTAAGTGAAGAAGACGGAAGGAATGCTGCTCAGGGCCTTAATTAGAAAAAACGGTTGCGAGCAACTTTCGCGGTAAGGCAATAACAGGACAACTCTTTCAACCAGTACCCAAGAAGAAAGAAGTTGCCAAAAAAGTGCATAGATACAAATGTTAGATACATATTTACCTTTATTGATGATGTACAGAGCTAGAGGCTGTCTACTGCCATTCGCATAAATAGGGAATGCAACGTATCGGACGTGTGCGAATAATTACATACAACAAATACATAAATGTACGTATGAGTTCGGAGATGTGTATAGACATCAGCAGTCAAGCATGAAGTACAAATTCCAATATGCTTGAAGAATACGGTGCAATGCGCCCGTGTCTGTTGACTGAAACTCAGCGCGTTTATTCGTCTAAGCAAGTTTGTAAATATAAAACTAGAGCCACGTGCTGAGAGCACGACAGCGCATAACGAACTTAACATACATACATATGTACATATGTATTTGTGTATACTAAATATGCGGTATGTGCCTACAAAACAACATACGACACCCATACATATACATACATACAAATATAAATATACTTATTCTAGTGCATCGAACAAAGCTGGCGTGCCGTCCAACAACTGTTGGTGCACAGGCCCATTTGGCCCATTTAAAGTCATAAGCACCTTACACCTTTGTTACCGTTACCCATTGCCCATTGTCGGCAGGCACAAATTGGCTCGACGACAACCAACAGAATACCGAACCGAAGCGGACGCCGTGAAATCACTCAAACTGAATGCAGTTGCAGCAGCTCTCAGTAGTAGTTGCACTACTATAAATGTATTGTATTGCATTGTGTTTGATTACTTTATAAGAGTACTACATATGTACATACATACGTATACACATGTACGACTGATCATGGCAAGTGGCGCGTAGAGCTGTCGTGTGGGCCGGCAGCAGCAACACGTTCACATTCACGTCCATCACCAATTCGGCAGTTTGCTAGTTGCTAGTTGTCTGTCTATCTAGCGGATGTAAACAATGTCACGTCTGTTTGGTGAGTGTGTGTACGCTAGGTGAGTCTCTTCTATGTATGTATGTATGTGCCATGTAAACCCTGTGTATGTATGTCTGTCTGCAGGCCTGTGTAGGCGGACAACTATTTAAGCATTGCATTATGACTATGGTCTACGCTCCAAATACGACGAAGTTGCATGCCGCTTACTGGCTATGGTATGTATATATGTATGTTTGCATATGCATGAAAGTGAAATTGAAAAACTGAACTTTGAAGGCGGCAGCGTGTTAACAATATGTCAAATCATCACATTATAATCACTTTCTATGTTGTTATTTATTAATACAAATCATAGATATGAGTTCATATATGCAAATATTTATTCATATCACCGTTAAAGCAATATGCACCTATTTAAATATACATATGTATAATTTATTTTATAAATGTTATTTTATTTTTTAATAATTGATTAATTTTTTTATTTCATTTAGATTTTATTTAAATTTTTTGTTTTATTTCATTAAATTGTATTTTATTTATATATTTTATTTTATTTAAATTAGTTAAATTATTAAATTATGTTTAANTGATTTATTTTGTTTTTTTTTTTTTAATTTATTCTATTTTATAAATACGTTATTTTAATTTATTTTATTTTATACAATACATATAGTATTTTAATTTGTTGTATTTTATACATATAATATTTTAATTTATTTAATTTTATACATATTTTACTTTAATTTGTTGTATTTTTTAAAGTATTTGGCTTTATTTTTTTATTTTAATTATTTTATAATTTTTTTTTTTTTTTTAATTTATATTTTTTGCTTTTTTACTTTTTTAATTTAAATATTTTTATTTTTTAATACTCGTTTACATTTTTTATTCAATTTTCGTATGTGTTTTCCCCTATTTCAATTATTTTATTTTATATTTATTTTCCCTTTATTTTATTTCAATTTTTTTCTTTTATTATTATATTTTATTTTTTTTTTTATATTATTTATTTAATTTTAGTTATTAATTTGTTTTTAATTTAATTTAATTTAGTTTAATGCTTTCTTAATTTGTTTAAAATTTATGTTTTACATCGCATAAGATTTTTCAAGGTTTTACTCTTTTTTGCGGAAAAGCAGCGGAAGGTCACCATTATTTTTTAGTTTAAGTTTAATAATTAACTTTTAAAACGTGTATAAAAAATAAATAAAAATAGTATAATTATGTAAAAACGAATAATATATTTTTATGACTCAATTTTTCTTAGCAAGCTACGTATATTTCTGTAATTGGATTTTTAAGTATGACTTGTGATGAATCAGTGCAATATAAAATAGTTTTGAGACAAGAAAACATTTGTGGCAAAAAATTAATTCAATTAAGTGACTCATAACATTTTCGATTTATTCGTTGTAAATTATTGTAGAAAACTAATTTAAATAGAAAATTTAAGCTAATTTTTCTAATTGCGTTCGGCCCTCGGCAGGGGCTGTTCGTTGACGGCTTAGTATAAACTGTAGGTCCCTGCATTTGTTGGAAAAACATCAAGACACCGAAAACGAAAAACCACAAATTGGAGGAGGAGAACGGCCGAAAATTGCTTCAGCGGTTACAATTTAATTTTTATTACTTTACTGGAATTTTTTCTTTTTTATTCATGTTTTTATTTACTTACTTTATTTTGTTTTATTTTTTTTTAATTTGTTTTATTTTGTTTTATTTTTATTTTGTGTGCATTTTCTATTTAATTTTTTGTTGTTTTTTTTTCTTATTAATTTATTTTTTTCCATTTGCCTTTTTTTATTTATTTTAATTTGTTTTTTATTTCATTTTTTATATTATTTTAATTTTTTAGTTTGTTTTATTTTTTATTTTATTTAGTTTGTTATTCTTTTTAATGTGTTTAATTTTTTTTCTTTATTTTTATTATTATTTTAGTTTAGTTTTTCATTAATTTGTTTTTAATTTTATTTTTAAAAATTTTTTTTTTCATTTTGTTTTTATTTTTCATTTTAATTTTTTTTATTTAACTTTATTTATTCATATTTTAATTTTTATTTTACATTTTATTTTTTCATTTTATTATATTTTATATTTTATTTTTTATTTTACATTATACTTTTTTATTTTATTATATTTTATTTTATCTTTTTGTTTTATTTTATTTTATATTTCATTTAATTTTTTTTTTATTTATTGTATTTATGTTTCTTACTATTTTTTTCATTTCATTTTTATATTTTTTATTTAATTATTAATTACATTTTGTTTTTTATTTTATATTTTATTTTTTTTTATTTTTATTTTATTTTTTATTTTTATTTATAATTATATAATTAATTCATTTTCATTTAAATTTAATTTTGTTTACTTTTTTTATTTAGTTATTGATTTTATTTTTCATTTTGGTTTTTGTTTCATTCCTTATTTTTTTGTTTTTTTTTAATTTTTTTTTTGTTTAATTTTATTTTTCTATTTTTATTTTTATTTGAGTTAGAGTTTAATTTAATTTAATTCTATTTTATTTTACTTTGCTAATTTTCTTTTCTAATTTTCTTTTTTCTTCATTAACATAAATTTTAGTAATTAAAACTTTACTTCTACGAGTACTAATAAAGTAAATTTGCATACAAC